GAGAAAGAAATCTTCCAGGGTACCTTAAGGACTTTGATCTAGGTAGAAGGTACTCTCGAACAAATGAGTGACCAGCCTGGGGCAGAATAATCCCCTCACTCAGCTGGAGGTCTGGGTTGTCTACCCCACCTTCATAGCCAGTTTGTAGTAAAGTTAAAAGAGTTGTTCACAGTGAAATAAGTGTTCTTATATAAATGTAAAAGAAAAAAATGTGTGCTGCCGCTAGAAATTCCAGTTTGTGTGAAACAATATTTATTTTATTGCAGCGTGCAGCAGCTTAAGTTGTATTTACATTATTGTTCATAATGTACTCAGAAAGGGGGATGTTATGGTAGTGACTTAGCCTGTGCACTATCCTGAAGCGCCCTCTGTTGGTTCAGCAGAGTAACTGGGGGGGGGGGCACCTTTGAATAAATGATTGCCAGCTCCAGACACGTCGCCGTCTGTCTCATACCTGCTACACTTACACCTAACTAAACAATCCCCACCTCAGCTGTAGTTATCTGCAGTTAATCCAGAGTGATCATGGGCCTCTTGGCTGCATCTCTGATCAGTCTTCTCCTTGTTTGAGATGAAAGTTTGGAGGGACGGCCGGGTCTTGGTAGATTTGCAGTGGTCTGATACTCCTTCCATTTCAATATAATTGCTTGCACAGTGCTCCCAAGATGTTTAAAGCTTGGGAAATCTTTTTGTATCCAAATCCGGCTTTAAACTTCTCCACAAGAGTATCTCAGACCTGCCTGGTGTGTTCCTTTGTCTTCATGGTTCTCTCTGCGCTTTAAACAGAACCCTGAGACTATCAAAGAGCAGGTGCATTTATACGGAGACTTGATTACACACAGGTGCATTCTATTTATCATCATCAGTCATTTAGGACAACATTGGATCATTCAAAGATCCTCACTGAACTTCTGGAGTGAGTTTGCTGCACTGAAAGTAAAGGGGCCGAATAATAATGCACGTCCCACTTTTCAGTTTTTTATTTGTTAAAACATTTTTAATTATCCAACAAATTTCATTCCACTTCACGATTGTGTCCCACTTGTTGTTGATTCTTGACAAAAAATTAAAATTTTATATCTTTATGTTTGAAGCCTGAAATATGGCGAAATGTTGAAAGGTTCAAGGGGGCCGAATACTTTCGCAAGGCTCTGTATATTGTGCGTATTTTAACTTATTGGTACAGTGCACAAACTATGCAAGTTATGTGGAGGAACGATGTATCTGCACCTTTAAAGTTGGAAATGGGGTCAGACAAGGTTATTCTGTCCCCTGGTTTTGTTTCATGTTTATATGGAGGGATTGTATGTGACTAAAATCCGGTAAAACTGTGTGTGGTTGGAATTTTTGCCCTGAATCTTCTAGTCTAATGTATGCCGACGATGTGGTTTTGTTCAGCCCAAGCACAGCTAGTTTATGGAACCTGCTTAATATCTGTTCAGAGTATGGAGTTGAGCATGACATCAACTTTAATGCAACAAAGAGTATGATCAGGACAGGAGGACAGGCTCATGATTTTTCCTGACTTTTGGCTTGCTAATGTTGTGTTAAATGTAATAGCATAAACAAAATATCTTGGATTTGTCATCACCACAGAAATAAATGATGACAGTGACATTTACAGACTGTGCAGGATGATGTATGCACAGGCAAACATTTTCATGCATAAATTCGGCTCCACTGAAGTTTAAGTTGAACTGTACACCACTGTACATTGCACACCTGTGGACTCACTATAAAAGAGAACGTTTTTATGAGAACGCCACAATGGACCAATGAGCTGTTCGTCACCTCGCGAGTAAACACTTCACAGGCTGTGCGGAGGAGCCTTATGTACAGTTTAATTTGTCAACTGAACAAGTCAGAAAATTTAATTTTACTAGTGCTGACAAACATTAGGCTTAGTGCCACTCGAGTAGACCCCAGATGTGGAGACACTGGTATGGCTGTCTTTTAAAATCATAACTGTTTTTTTATTTTTTGTCTTTGTCTTTTTTTGTCTGTTTTAAATTGGATCTAGTGTCTGTAATAAAATGGAATTGTCTTTATGGTAAACATCCACTTCAGTCTCCATTCTTTAACATTAACAGACACTTCCCTGTCTCTGCTGAAGAATGCTTTTATAACCATGTTTGACACCTGGGACGGTTCACTGAGGATGATTAGTGTGAATTTTGCTCCAGTCCATAACATTTTGTATTTTGGCCAAAACGTCAATTTTTTTTGTCTAATCTGACTACAACATGACTTGCACATGTTTGTGTTCCCCACTTCTGGATGGTGTTCATTGGAATGACAATTGGCAGTGTCAGACGTGTCCCCCTGCTTAAGCCAGTACATGTTCAGGTCCGTCGGATGTTTCCTAGAGCGCATTTGGATGATCCAGAAGAGGATTTGGAGAATGTCATGGTCAGATAAAAACAAAATACAAATGTTTGGTAAAACCTCAACTTGTGTTTGAAGCAGAAGGAATCCATGACTGGGACTACAGATGGTTCTGGTGTATTTACATCTCCTGCTGTTCATTATTACACATTGTGTAAATAAATAGAATCAATCAGCAGTGGTATTGAAGATAAAACAAGGGCCCGGGCGACAAAGTGGTTTCGTAAAAATCATTCCAATGTCTTAGAGTGGTCTAGCCAGTCTCTAGATCTCAACCCCATAGAAAATCTTTTGAGTGGAGTAGAAAGTCTGTGTTACCCCAAATCATCACTGCTCTAGAAGAGATCTGCATGGAGGAATGGACCAAACTACCATCAAACTATTGCCCTCTGTCAACAAAGTATTGAGATGGATTGACTTTTGTTATTGACTTAATATTTAGTTTGCAAATAAATTGGTGGCTGATAAACTTTTTTGCCCCTCTGTAACTTTAGATAGACAGCCGTGCCATACTTTACATGTTGGAACAATGATTTGAACAGTGCTTTGTAAGATCTTTAATTTTGTATGATGTAATTCTTCTTTGAACGTTTCCACAAATTCATCAAGACCTCTCTGGTGTGCTCCTCAGACTTCATGATGCTGTTTACTGACAGCCATACATTCTAAACATAGCTCTGAAGCCCTCGCAGAACAGTTGTACTGTAGCTAATCACACTGATGGTAGACTACTATCTATTTAATTGTTGGGATATTTTCAACTACCGTTTTATGTATATTTGTTTGTGCAAGTCCTACTTTTCAGTCCTGTATTTCACAGAGTGACACACCATTTTGCTTTCACTTCTGGTTGTCTGTTACTTTGTTGTGGTAAAATCTCTGTTTGTGGTCAAAAACATGACCAAATGTGCAAATAGTTGAAAGCATCACTAATGAATATATCATCAAGGGTATAAGATTTTTTGAAATCTCTCTCATTCTTCCTCAAAGGTTTGAATCTATCACTTAATCAATTTATCACAGATGTGTCACCGTTTAATCAAACCAGATTGGATTGTTGGTCTTGTGAATTATATTGTGACATCATGGTGGAAGACAATGGAGCCTTTCACTAATAAGATTATGTCTATTATCATTTACAGCACAGTAAGTACAATACAAATGTTACAATACAAACACAATAATAACACTCTGCTTTTTTATATGCCATATTTTATATTCTCTTTTTTTATTCCTCTCACAAAATGTGAGTAGTAATGAGTAAGGGAGTATGCAGATAGATCCAAGTGCTTACTGGGTCTCCCTGCGGGCATGACTGATAACCCTGACTGATAATAACTGGTGAATTGTATTTCCTTGAATCCTATCCTTGATTTCTGTCTAGGCCATTTTTCAGCAGTCAATCAACTCATGCTTCCTGCCAGCTCTCAAGTCTCCAAGATGTCTGCTCATTCAAATCAATGGCCTGTGCTCATTTGCGCATGCTTGGTCCCAAACATTAGCAGAAGCAATGTGTTTTGTCCAGCTCTGGTCCTCCGGGTCTAGGTGTGCGTTGGTTCTACTCCTGCAGGAAGTAACACATGAGTTTTCTGACCAATCAGAGCTGACTGTGGACGGTTGCGCTCGCTCACTTTGCTTTCATACTCGTCCACAGAGGAACATGTGAGCGGTTTGACCAGAGCGCCGCTGATCAGTGCTGATTGAGAGTGGGACAACAATGAGCCACGTTTGTTGCACAAAAGTGTGGATTTATTGAAAAACAATGAAAACGTTTAGGACTAGTTGCAGTGCCGCAGGTGGCCCCCTGTCCATGATGGAGACTGGTTTTCAACCAATGTCGTATCCAGATACACAAAGAAACCATTATTCTGATATTATTATTCTGTAGCGACCCTGCATTTATGTTAATTGTTAATGCTGTTTAATGCATGTTATTCTTCACTGTTTAGTGCACTTACAGGATTGGTTCTGAGTATGGGGGCAGGCCTACTAGAGGGGATAGGGAAGCTTGTTTGGATTAAACACTCTCTTGCTCGGGACTACGAACGGGCTGGTGTTCTGCTTGCGTTGTGGAGCTGTATTGGCGTGATTACGGCCGACAGTAACCATCTTGTAACAAAGCAACAAGTAGAACACTGTCTCATTCATTACCTCAAGCCAAAACATTACAATACATTCATGCTTGCTACTCTGCTCCACTCCTCTCCTTGGCATATGTGTTCTCTGACTACCACTGCCAAACTTTTAAAACTATAAATATTGATGTAGTCCTGTACACTCCCCTCCTCCCTACACATGTGTCGAGCTGGGGTCGTGTGAAAACCCTCGTGCCGTTGCCACGCTGGTGAAAAAAGGTTGGGCACCACTGCTTTAGAAGCCTCTTTTATAGTAGGTGACTACCACTGAGGCCATAGACAGCACTTAGAGCATTTCTAAGTTTGACGACAGCTCAAAACGCTCGCGCACGCTCCGCTTCCTATTGGTTGCAGCGCGCGCGAGAGAGTGCTCTCATCTCCGGCTGCTGAGGCTGAGCTCAGGACTGCTCTGCTCTCTCTGCTCTCTCTGCTCTGCTCTGCAAGCTTCATCCTTGTCTGGGCGACGAGACAGCTCTTGTCATGCTACGAAACGGCGGACACAGGTACGTAAGACATCTGTACATCCACCTATTCTACACTTATGAGTGCATATCGTTAATTATTCAAGACAAGCTTGTTGGTGTCTGCTACAGCTACATGTTGTTTGGTGCTATCAAGCATTATCATAAGCACACGCAGGTTGCACACGATCACACATCATCAGTAGAGATTTTGAATGACTATCTCAACTCGAGCGGTGTCTTTTCTAGAAGCATGCACCAGGGAGAGGACACGAGGCTGCGCAGTGGGAACCCGGCGGCTTCCCGCGAAAGAAAGCACCTTGCCTTGTGCATTAACAGCCAGGTAAGTCAGAGTTGTTCATAACGATTAGGTCATCTGTCTAGTACTAGACTCTCAGCTGCACTTGGATCAATTAACACAGCTTTTTGGACTGTTGCATTTTCACAGGTTCCCAACTTGAGTCGAGATATGTGACTATTTTGTGGGTGACGTCAGTAAACTTACAGTATTACTGAGATGGAATTGTTGTATAGTATAGTAGCCGCTTTGCATGTCATATTTGATTATACTACCAAACAAAATAGCCAAGTGAGCAATGATTTAGGTATTTTCCAGTGATAAGTGATATTTAGAAAGCAATAACACATGCATGAATGAGTATAGACTTGCAAGTTCACCTGGTTGCAAGCAAATTGTGAATATTTAATGTCAGAGTGTTGAACATTATCTGTGTGGGGTATTGAGTTGTGAGCTCTGAAAGCCCTGCTCCATCACCGCTTCCGTCTTGCGCTGCAATATATCCTCCTGATGCATCTCTCCAACACACACATACACACACACACACACACACACACACACACACACACATAGTATCTTGTAATTCATTCTCCCTCTAGTTGGACCATTGCACTGTCTCAATCTGGCTCCCTCGCTTCGTCTTAAATCTCTACATATGACATGTTTGATTGATCCATCCTCGGTGTCAGGCATCAGAGGATGAGCGAAGAAGAAAGGTGGCAGGTCCCTTTCTATCTTGCAATTTGAGCCAAAATAATTCTTCAGTAAAAATTGCATGACACAATCATAGAGTAGTCTATAACTCTTTTATGTAGAAAGATAAATATCATGTTTTCAAATATATTGTATTATTACTATTTTTTAACTACTACTTTTTAACTACTGCCTATGAGTTTGTTTCTTTACCGCATCCTAATGCCCTTTGTCTCTACTGAAGTTGATGTACCTTATCCTTGTGGCCTCAAACCGACTTTGTAAACTTAAAAACAAGCCTTTTAAAATATATTCCACGGTGCTTGAATAATAGAATGGGAGGTAATTGACACAAACAAACACGCCCACCCGAACTGCATTTGTTGAACCAACTTGAATTAGTGTGTGAAAAATGAGTGTATGCAGGTTGCAGGTTATATATGGATGTTGTGCTTACTGTGTCTCCCTGAGTGATTCAGATTCATTATTGAGGCGTGAACCCCCGAGAAGCACATTAATCTATGCGGCTATTACGCCATAATCAATGAGACCACAGAGGTTTATGGCCCGAGGTTCATGTTGTTAGACATTTTCAACAGTGTTTATTTAAACAGCATGCCAATGAGAGGGGAGGGAGGAGCAACCTTGTAATGAGGTTATGGATGAAATATATGGCAAAGCGCAGGTGACATTGTTGCCTAAGGATTTGCTACACCGACCCGCTGTGCAAATGGAATGCCCCGCTGTAGATTACAATTGTACTCAACTGTTCAAGTCTGATCTTTTCTTTGCAACTTTGTCTGCCTCACTATTAAAGACTGACCTTATATCAAAAGCAAAACCATAAAGAAATGTAACAATATATTTAAGAACATGCAGCTCTATCGTTCGAGCTGTTAATATGTTGTGTGTTGCATGTGGGGCTGTATCACATTATGATCTTGTCTCCTCCGCTGGGACAGAGCTGAGTGCTCACTCAAACAGTCTGCGATTGAGGCATAATAACCTGTGTAGGAGTGAGATGAGAAGCCTTGTCAGGGAGGTCTCTAGCCTCCCTAGGTCCTGACATGTCCTCCCATAACCTGCACTGTCACTTTTTTATGAAAATGGACATCAATTTTAGATAAGTTAAAAGCTTAATTCAACATTCCAGGCCAACAAATGACTTTCTTTTCAATGTTCTCTTTTTTCAGAACACCCTTGACGCATAGTGTCAAGAGTGCTCTAAAGACAGTGCAACGGTCCAGATAACGTCACTGAACTGTTTCAAAATACAGTATGTGAATTGACTTAAGTGACTAGTGGTCACATCTCCACAAATCAAGCGTTGTTGCTCCATCAAATCTGTCCCATTAAAGTGAACCCCAATGTAACAAAGATGAAGTTTACGAACGTTTAGTTCCTCAATAATTTGTATTCCCATTTTTCATTATTTAGCAAGATGCTTAGTATCAAATGATATTATAAAATTGTGACATATGTATTACTGTTATTTACATGGCTCTTGTTCTTTTGGTATTACAGTAAGACACAACTGTGCTCTCTTCACGCTCACATCATGTTAACTGATTTTCAATATTACTATTAATGGGATTCTCTATTGGTTGATTCTTCTTCTTGCCTCATATACTTTCACATCTCTCATATTAAACACATTCCATTTTTGTTGTTGTTGCTGTGATCAAATTAGTAAGTGTTTCAAAATTACAACAACACATGCTCCTGCTATAAACCCAGACTCATGCTGCGTTCCCCCTTTCGTTTTGGTGTGTGTGAATGTGACTGTTAATATCCTGGTCATCCATCTCTCTGATAGAACTAGGCCTGGAAGAAATTATGTTTTTAATAACTCATCAATTAAAGGGCAGTAGAGGCCATTGTTTTTCCATTTTATCTTCTTACACCATTTTTCATTCTAAGATTATCTAATTGTGTGGATAATTTTCCTATTTGTCAAAGGCAGCTTATTATTTTGGGTGATTGATTATTATGTGTATATCTCCTGCTGTCCATGTCCATGTTATGAAATGCAACAAAATGGAGCCAACAGCTGCAGGAAGTACAGACAAACCCGAAGTATGTTCCTCCAAATGCTTGTTTTAGCCTCACCATCTGTGTCGAGTTCACACAGTATAACACTTGTAAATCCTTATTTTTCCAACACTATTTGGACTTTGAAGCAAGACAGTTTGCATAACATTGTGTTTGCTACATATTTCAACTATAACCATAACTACAGTATTCACCTGGGTAATATTGCCATTTAAATTAGTGTGGAGATCTCATATAACTATTTTTGACACATTATCATGATATTAATATATCATGATGATGATAATAATAATAATAATAATAATAATCACAATTACAATAATAATAACAATAATAATAATAATAATAATAATAATGATGACAACAATAACCATGTATTTTTTTTTTCAATTTGTCTACCTCTCTAAGGCTTGAGTGGGCAGAAAATTGGATGTAATCAATCATATTGAAGTGTGAATAATTCAAAAGGTGGCATCATAGCTAAAATGTTTCTTCATTGTATGATATTTTCACATATTGAATATTGCATTACTAACTGGTCACTGACGAGTCTGACTACTTTAAAACCAATTGAGTCTCTATATAAAAAAGCTTTAAAAATATTTGATAAAAAACCATATTCATTTCATCATTGCTTAATACTTGAAAAATATAATATTCTAAACTTTGAAAATTTTAGAACATTTAAAATGGCTTGTTCAGTTTATAAGATTTTGCATGGACTCTCTCCACCATCCTTGAATGAATTCATTAAGTTCATATCCAGTACAAGTGGTAGAGTGACCAGAGCCACCACCAGAAGTGACTGTGTGGTTCCTTATAGACGCACAGCGTTTAGTCAACAGGTGCTGTCAGTGAAAGGGACCACGGTATGGAACAGCATCCCAGCAGAAATTTGAGACTGTACTACATTCATAGTATTTAAAACTAAACTTAAAGGTTGGCTGAAGGGGAATCAGACATGTAACCACTGACCAGTATCTTTGTTTTAGGTCTCCAGTTTAATTGTGTGGATGATTTGTGTGATGATCTTTTGTCTTTTAAATGTCGTATATTAGTCTTTGTATTTTCTTGATCTGCCAGGGACTACAGATGGAAAGTAGCCATTGGCTAATTCTGGCATATTTACATTTACATGTTCATTAATATGCATTGGCCCTTTAAATAAATAAATAAAAAAAAAATCATCAATAGCTGACAATTAAAATATAGTTTACATGATTAAGGATAATAATCCAAAATAATTGTGTGGATTTATCTAAAACAATATCATACTTTGCACTTTGAATATCACTGATCAATCAAAAAAAAGAAATTGCACAGACAAAAAAATATTTATTTTCCGACAAAAATATTTGAGTGTTTACTACTTTCCCTTGGATATGTACCTCTGTATATTTCTGTAGCACTTTTGTAACTGTTTTAACTATTAATTTAATCCATTTGGTGGTTGCAGGTTGTTAAGCCTCTTGAGGATATTTTGGTGAGCGTCCATCACATTCTGTATATACTGAATATACTGTATACAGAGGTCCCTCGCTATAACACGGTTAAACTCTCAAGGCCTCCGTGTTGTGCAGATTTTAGTGTGTGCAATTTTGCAAGCTTTTTTTATTTTTATTGAGTGCTTCTTATGCGCCACTTACAGTATATACTCCAACCAGTCAGAAGTAGATTTTTGTGGCTTGTATGCACCACGATGATTAGTACAGAGGACAACTACTGTCTTTCGGGGTTTTTTTTATGCACAGCTTTCAACAGCTGCAGCAGCGCTCAGACCTACAACAAATAGGTTTGATATCCCCGCAATCGTAATTCAACAGTCGTGAGTTCAGGTGGTTAGAGAAGTGTGTGGTGAGGGGTTATAAACGTACAGTGTAGCTGTTAATTTGCCAATTTAGCTTCTTGTGGGCTTCACAGAGACGGACAGGAAGAAGCTGGATAAGATCATCAGGAAGTCCAGCTCTGTCTTGGGCTGTTCCCTAGACACAGTGCAGCAGGTGGGGGACAGGAGGGTCCTGGACAAAATAACATCTCTATGCTGGACGATGACTGTCACCCCCTGCAGGACACTCTGTCTGCTTCTGGAGAACAGTTTCAGTGACAGACTTATTCACCCTCGCTGTGTGAAGGAGAGGTTACGCAGGTCTTTCCTTCCTGCTGCTGTCAGACTGTACAACAAACAATGAGGACTAATCAACACGGCCAACCTGATCTCAAATATCATGCGTTGGTGCAATATCTTTAAACAATATCAGAATGTGCAATAACTACATGTGTCCCAGAGCCTCATGCTGCTAATGTACAGATGTAAACATACTGCTGCTAATGTACAGATGTAAACATACTGCTGCTAATGTACAGATGTAAACATACTGCTGATAATGTACAGATGTAAACATACTGCTGATAATGTACAGATGTAAACATACTGCTGCTAATGTACAGATGTAAACATACTGCTGCTAATGTACAGATGTAAACATACTGCTGCTAATGTACAGATGTAAACATACTGCTGCTAACATGTACAAATGTAAACATACTGCTGCTGATGTACAGATGTAAACATACTGCTGCTGATGTACGGATGTAAACATACTGCTGCTAATGTACAGATGTAAACATACTGCTGCTAATGTACAGATGTAAACATACTGCTGCTAATGTACAGATGTAAACATACTGCTGCTATTGTACAGATGTAAACATACTGCTGCTGATGTACAGATGTAAACATACTGCTGATAATGTACAGATGTAAACAGACTGCTGCTAACATGTGCAAATGTAAACATACTGATGCTAATGTACGGATGTAAACATACTGCTGCTAATGTACGGATGTAAACATACTGCTGCTAATGCACAGATGTAAACATACTGCTGCTAACATGTACAAATGTAAACATATTGCTGCTAATGTAAGGATGTAAAGATACTGCTGCTAATGTACAGATGTAAACATACTGCTGCTAATGTACAGATGTAAACATACTGCTGCTAATGTACAGATGTAAACATACTGCTGCTAACATGTACAAATGTAAACATACTGCTGCTGATGTACAGATGTAAACATACTGCTGCTAATGTACAGATGTATACATACTCCTGCTAATGTACAGATGTAAACATACTGCTGCTATGTACAGATGTAAACATACTGCCGCTAACATGTACAAATGTAAACATACTGCTGCTAATGTACGGATGTAAACATACTGCTGATAATGTATAGATGTAAACATACTGCTGATAATGTACAGATGTAAACAGACTGCTGCTAATGCACAGATGTAAACAGACTGCTGCTAATGCACAGATGTAAACAGACTGCTGCTAATGCACAGATGTAAACATACTTCTGCTAATGTACAGATGTAAACAGACTGCTGCTATTGTACAGATGTAAACATACTGCTGATAATGTACAGATGTAAACAGACTGCTGCTAACATGTGCAAATGTAAACATACTGATGCTAATGTACGGATGTAAACATACTGCTGCTAATGTACGGATGTAAACATACTGCTGCTAATGCACAGATGTAAACATACTGCTGCTAACATGTACAAATGTAAACATATTGCTGCTAATGTAAGGATGTAAAGATACTGCTGCTAATGTACAGATGTAAACATGCTGCTGCTAATGTACAGATGTAAACATACTGCTGATAATGCACAGATGTAAACAGACTGCTGCTAATGCACAGATGTAAACATACTGCTGCTAACATGTACAAATGTAAACATACTGCTGCTGATGTACAGATGTAAACATACTGCTGCTAATGTACAGATGTATACATACTCCTGCTAATGTACAGATGTAAACATACTGCTGCTATGTACAGATGTAAACATACTGCCGCTAACATGTACAAATGTAAACATACTGCTGCTAATGTACGGATGTAAACATACTGCTGATAATGTATAGATGTAAACATACTGCTGATAATGTACAGATGTAAACAGACTGCTGCTAATGCACAGATGTAAACAGACTGCTGCTAATGCACAGATGTAAACAGACTGCTGCTAATGCACAGATGTAAACATACTTCTGCTAACATGTACAAATGTAAACATACTGCTGCTAATGTACAGATGTATACATACTCCTGCTAATGTACAGATGTAAACATACTGCTGCTATGTACAGATGTAAACATACTGCCGCTAACACATACAGATTTAAACATATAACTACATATTGCTTGCACTAGAATACACATTCCTTTGCACTTTCCCCTTATTTTGCCACATTTAGAGATTCTATACTTCTTTGTCATGGTAAAGATAAAGATTTTATACTTGTGTCTTTGATTTTTAAGATTGTATTTTATTTTAATTAGTATAGTTTATGTTGATTTATCTTGTGCTGTGTGCTCCTTATTCCTACTGTTCTGTAAATTGTGATGCAACACTGAAATTTTCCCTCTGTGGGATGAATAGAGGATCTCTTAATCTTAATCTTTTTTTTAGAACGTAACCCCGCGAAAAACAAGGGACCACTGTATTAGTTTATGTTATTTATTATTTGGTAATAAATAACATAAACTAAACTAAACTACTCACCAAAGCCTTAATGCGTCTACTGCTGTAAGACCCTGCAGTGTCTTACAGCAATAGACACTGCTGTAAAACACTGCTGTCTTACAGCAGTGTAAGACAGCAAAACACAAAATGACAGTGTTTTGTTTTTGTTTTGCACAGGAGGAAGTGAGGAGATATCACCGCTTCTGTAACCACAGTGGAGGACAGGCTGTGAAGCAGGAGAGGTGGGCCAGGTTCACCAACACAGCACAACATGGTCCATTACATGATGCTAAACTATTCTGTTTATATTCAGCACGCACCCACCCACCCACTCCCTATGTAAATAGCACTGGTTTCACATTTGTATTACCTTATGTACTGTATAGATGTGTTTGATCACACATCTATGGTATGTTTACTCTTACTGTTTTATTAATGGTTGGATGACAAGTCCACAGAACACAATAACATACATTTGTTCATACATATATGTATTTATTTATTATATTCATTTTAGTTTATTATTTGAACCTAAATTCAAAAATAGATTTGATTCATAGCAGTCAACATGAGAAAGAATGAGAGGGAAATTAGCTGTTTGTTTTGTTTGATAGGAAAACTCTTAATTCACAAGTTTAATAGATATGATTTATTCATTGTTTTTGAGCAGTTAAAAATGGTAGGTCTACAGCTACAGAAAGTTCAGCTACATAATAGCATTGAGAGCTATTGAATACGTGGGGCACCCTAATTGCTTGTGAGCATACTCCCAAAATCTGCACCTTCACTTGAGGTCATAGCTCAAAATCCCTGACATAGGTGATCGCCTACTGATCCCCACCTTTTAATAAATTACATCTTACATCTTGTTGTAGCCATTAGTTTGAATAAAATGTTTTCTTCTATTGTCACAGGAGTAGTTCTCGCCGCAGAGAGGAAGATTTTGACAATAAAATTCAGCGCTCCGAGCAGCAGCACTTGGAAGTCAAGGCCACAGTGTGAGTCTGCTGTACCTCCATGTTGATGCATAGACAAATACGACTTCATATAGCATAGCTTTTGCACAGTTAATTCATGATTAGTGACATGACCTGCAGCAGTGGTCCCGGTGACCTCACAGCACCATTATTATTTTACATCAATTGTGTTTGTGCTTAATTCAATCTTGCTGCTGATTAAGTTTCACTGTCAGGTCAGAGCTCACCTGAGAGTGCACGACCCCTACAGACTGCCATCTCGCTCTCTCTCCTTAACTAATACATGAAATGGGGTTGGACACCGGTGGCCTCAAGCTTTTGGTTCAAAGAAAGTTGGCGACTAAGAAAATATGTTTCTGAGTCGAGTCGAACATGAAGGGATGCAGAAAGGTGACAATGATTAGAAGAAAAAAGTCAGAATAAACTTGAAAGTGTGCGGTGGACCATGAGCTTTGGCTGAACAAAGATGTAGAAGAAAGAGTATTGAATAAAAGTGAGGAGGGTATAGGTGGAAAAGCCAAGGGGAAAGGTTTTGGTTTTGGAGCTCCAAGTTATGGCTTAATTCAATTTGTTCCATTTGGCTCGACTGTCTCTGCTTCACTGGAGGTGAATGTGTTTCTTCATTGGATAATTGATCTGACTCCAGGCCTCCAGCATGAGTCCTATTGTTAGGTCCACTGCATGGATGAAAGACACATCTTGAATCATTTAAACTCATGGGTTTCTCATTTGAAATATTTGAAGAAGGAATACTAAATATTATTTACCTGATAATCAAATGCTGCATATTTGTTACTGCAATATAAAAACATTCGTTATTGAGGTGTGGAAGATTGTGGAATAGAAGGAGAAGAAAAGTTTGTGATTGCTTTTCAAAAGAAATTTCAACTTTGTAATGAGCCATTGAGCTGGCTGCATTGTGAAGAGTCGGTATCAGGCCACTTCAAAACCGACGTCTTGCCATAGATATGTTTTTCTTACTGTGAGAAGGCCTGCCTCTCCCCAGATATATCTTGTAACCAAGCTGAGAAAATCTTTTTTGTCCACGCTTTACGTTAGCAGATGGATGACCCTTTAATTTGTCACAACATGATTTATTTATGATGATATGTTTAACAGCTTTAACATTAACTTCCATCTAAGTACTCATTCACCAGTCTATTTTGACAATAAATGAGTGTCCTGTACCTACTAAAACTTTATGGAGTCAAAATTATAAGTCCATAAATTCACAATCACAATATAACAATAAAAATACAAATATTAGCCGCATTGCTATGTAAGCCGCAAGATTCAAAGAACTAGAAAAAAATAGTGGGTTATAGTCTGGGACTGAACCCAAACACAAAGTGTATCCTCCACTAGTTGAGCAATGTACCATAACAAAAACAATTCTACATACAAATTAAACAATAACTACTTCTGTTTTATAACAATACTCTGAAACAGGTAAGCACATTCTATAAGACCCTCTAAGACTGTGTTTGCTGTCTGCTAATTCCAGGATTCAGCGAGCCTGGCGTGCTAAACAGGGCCAAAAGAAGAACGTCCAGAGTTTGACAGTACCATCCAGCCTCCGGATGACTACTACAATTTCAGCGGTAAGAAAACTATCTCTCGAACAAAAGCCGTAGAGCACTGGAGATCATTGTTGTCTGTTGTCTAATGATGTAATGGCTAAGTAGCTTTGTTAATGGTCTTCTAAATGCAAAAGCAAAGACTGGGGTAGATTAAGGCGGGCTGTTTACCTCGAGTGTCATCTGGGCGGCTGCGGGGGTCGAATTGGCAGAGGTGCCTCTGATGCCAGCTGGCGCGTTGCCCAGATCTGTAATTAGCCGTTAATTAGGTAAATTTTCTTAGCTAGTTGATTGATTAATGAAGAGCTTTTGCCCCCACAGTCCTCGTTGTAACCAACCCTCCCGCCTTTGTCTCCCAAGGGAAAACCATGGAGGATAAATAGTGCTCACACTGCATGGCAGCCAAAAAAGACCCCAAAAACAAAGTCTGCTGATAAGCTGTGTGAATAGAGAAGATGCAACAAAGTTAACATGCAAAACAAGGATCAGATGATGAAAAGAAAAGATGATTTTCAAGTTCAAAGACGGGTCTGCAGGGCTGGGCATACAACATCTGGTACTGTATGTAGGCCTGTTACAATAGCGGATTTTATCACAAGATAAATTGCTTCTGTAAATTATTGCCATAATATTGAAAGTACTTTATGCCACTGATGCAAGTACAATAAAGCAGCATAATCCCATCAAGCCAGTTTTCAATATACAGTTTCTAGTTCATTAAAAAGCCTGCACTAAGAAAATCATGTTTGGATATTTTAAAGCCTCTACAGCAGTTTTACAAAGAAAATACCAAAAATATATCTACTATTGCAAAGAAAATGGGCAGACAATAATTATTGTTATTATTTTCTTTCTTTCTTTCATTTATTTATTTGAGCAGAAACTTATTTAAAACATTTTACAGAAGAAAACAAAACAAGACTATTGTGCTCAAAAGGAGTAGGAAGAAGTTCAAAGAACTTATAATAAACCTACCCCTTATCTCTCATTCAAGTAACACAAAATATCACAAAGGATTTATCATTTACAGTCGTACAAAATAAATAAAGGATTTATCATTTACAGTTTTACAAAAATAAATACACCATATGGTATTTAATATGTATAGCAATTATATTGCAACATCACTTCATCTGACTGGAATCGACACATTTTTTACAAACTCAATGCATTGAACTTATGCATGTGTAAACGTTCGGTTTTAGGGATTTTTTTTTTTGTTTTTTGTTTTTTCTTCTTTTTTTTTCATCCCTCTCTACAATACCTCAATCCTCATATACGGGCAAACCCCATAACAACAACAAAAAAGCGCGAGTGTGTGCCTGTCTGTGAAAATAATAGTAATTATGATACTTCACTAGCATAATTTTTAAAGATAATGTCTTTACATGTTTTTTTTAAAGTGTACTAGTGTTTTGCTCTGTTTTGTCTCTTTATTTAGGTCATTCCACAATGTTATTCCTGCTTGGGAGATTCACATACTTTTGAGGGTGGTGTGAACACAATGTTTCCTCATCACAAATTCTCCTCTTAAATTATAAGTTCCTTCTCTACTGCTGAACAATTTCTGAGTGTTCCTAGGGAGAAGGTCACAACTTGCTTTGTATAATACAACAAGAGTTTTAAATTTAATTAAGTCTTCAATTTTCATTATACGAGATGCTAAGAACAACTCATTTGTATGGTCCCTAAAACCAACATTATGAACGATTCTTATGGCTTTTTTCTGAAGTTTTAAAAGTGGATCTAAATGAGTTTTATAAGTGTTAACCCAAACCTCCGCACAGTAGCTGATATATGGGAGAATTAAAGAACTATATATAATATGTAAGGCTCTATATTTTAGCAGATGTCTAGCTCTGTACATTACCGATATACTCTTTGCCATTTCTGATTGTATGCTTGTTATATGGGGTTTCCAGCTTACATTATGACTTAAAATCACACCCAGAAATTTACATTCGTGAACTCTCTCTATTTCCATATTGTTGATTTTAAGTTTTACTTCAGTATCTTTGATTCGTTTCCCAAAAATCATCATTTTTGTTTTCCTAATATTCATTGACAGTTTGTTATTATCGAACCATTTATCTTTTTATTTTTTGTATGGACCAATTTAATCTTGAGTCTGAAATAAAGATTAATAATATTGAGGCCCAAAATATATTGTCCCATCCATCCATCCATTTTCATAAAAGTGTACTTTTTCTAGCATTTTTGGCGCTGCTTTGACGCATCTATGGCGCATCTGCCGTATATGTAAAAATACAGTATATGTGTGTGTGTATATAATATATATTTCAGCTAACGGGTAAGCCCATTCAAATGTGTAAAAAAAAACATAGTAGATTTGGTCCAGCCCCTGACAGCAGGTTTATATTCCAATGTGGCCCTCAGGGGCAAAAGCTTGCACATGCCTACATGGTACTTCTCATGACACGCCTAACTGTATGAATGCATGGAGCTATTTCCACTAACCAGTAAACATTTGGAATGGGAATGCTAGTGGGTTTTCTCTATAATAGGGTTTCATTACCGGTACACATGTGGCAGTAAATGTTAATCACAACTTGCTGTAACTGCTCTACGAGAGATAGCAAGCAGCATTTATCAGTGCCATTTGCATTACTGAAATGACTTGTAATTATATTTGTAATTTTTCGCTGGGAAAAATATATGACAGACAATTGCGTCTCGTGATTCTCTCCTATTTTCATGTAAACAGTCATTGTTTCTTTTGTTAAAATTCTATTGACAGAAAACAGTATAATAATGCCTCACTCCCCATGTATTTTCCCCTTGTTCTTTCCCTGTCTGTCCCATCATCTGTTCTCGATCTGTCTAAAGTCAGACGTATCGCCCTCTGGAGGATGTAGTATGAGGGATGTGGAAGACTAGTATTCATCAGTCTGAAGAACACTGGGCTCTTGGTATATCTATACTGTATGTTACTGTCCTCATATGGGCCTGAAGGACTCATATGGGTCCTGCCCCACAGGAAAGGGGCGGAGGTTCAAACATGCGTCATACATATTTCATACGACCTCTTATTGGTGAGCACATAGACAGTCCTATGAGTCCTGCATCTTCTCCAACTGAAAAACCTCCCCGTTGCCACTTCTTATATCAATTCTGACTGCTCCTGTTTTATGGGTGCGGCACGTGGCAGTGGAGGTGGTCTAAAACCTGCCAAAGCCCAAGGTCCAAATGTATTATTTATACTCCTCGGGGGCGGACCTTACATGTCCTGCCCACTGATAGTAACTCAATAGGTTTGACTGTTGTAGACACAGCGCTGCAGCGTATTGGCAGAACCATAGAGCTGCTGTATTGAGGGAATTCATCAACAATTCGAATCCAAGACTGATTTGTGACCTGGGGGTTGGATTTCCATTTTAACTGCAGTTTTTCATCCTTTTACTGTATGCCATTATTTGCCTGTATTTACAACATATTCAGATTTTTTGAGTCCTTAAAACATTCCTGGTTACATATTTCTGTTTTACATGAGTGAAACATGTCAGTCTTCACTTATCATGTTGTTAGTAATGAATGTTAGTTCAAACATTTCTACAGTTTGACAATTTGTGTTGACCTTTTAATTGAAAAAAGCTGTAACTAACAATTATTTTATATTGAGCTATTTGGCACTTTTTTTTTTTGATTATTTTATCCCGTCTGTGATTTTTTATACATTTGACCAAAAGAAGGGTTGACTGATACCCCTGGAGAACATCATCTAAGGGCACGGTCACATAGGTTTTTACAAGCGAACTAGGCCAAGTGGCCCGAATCGTCGCCACAGGAGTGTGAAAACGGCCCGCGGTCACATGAACTTGTCCTCTGAACCGTGGCAGTGCAACTTTGCTGTAGTACGACGCCCGGTCCAGCTGGTGGCGCTAATAATAACTTCAGTGACTACCACGTTGTCCGAGTTGAGTATCCGCTTCTCTTCCTGTTTACATTCTGCTACTGTTGCTAACAGGTTCGAGCATGCAACGCGTTGTTTGCATCAGAGCAATGTGAACAACGGTGGGACACGTGTGTGTTGTCTGTGTGTGCGGGCGCGCCGCGGACACGGGAGTGCACCTTTATAGTAACGAGCATAAAGTGCTGACTGAGAATGAATGAGAATGAAAGACAGAAAAGTGTGGTGTACGAGCAGAGAGACTTAAGTGTACATAAGTGTGTTCGTGTGTGTGTGTGTGTGTGTGTGTGTTCGTGTGTGTGTGTGTTTGTGTGTGTGTGTTCTGGAAATTGAATAAAAACGGATTCTTGAATGTCTGAAGTGTTATTGCAATAGCACCACACTGAGAGTGAGGGTCAGGACAGAAGAGAGTCATTCCTGTAGGAAACGCTTTTCTTTGGCCTTGCACTCCCCAGTGCCACTCGACCACGGTCCGGGGGCTTTTATGAAAGATTTAACACAAGCGGAGAATATGAAAATGCGTGTCACAGGAAGACGTAACGTGACACACAATATCACGTCCCCACCACACCTCATCCCCCACTCCCCACCACCCGCCACACTGGAAAGGGTGCTCCGGCCCACGTCTTTAATCAAGCCTGGGCACGGTTGCTGCAATCGTGCCCAGGCTCGATAGCCGCGGTCACAAAGCACCTAAAGCCTGGATCTAATCCCTAAACGGGCCCTGGCCCACTTAAACCGGGCTTTAGGCTGCGCATGTGACCGCAGCCATAGAAATACGGATTTTAATGTTATTCTGTTGTGATTAAAGAATTATCATATCATTTATTAGTCATAAAGTTTCATCAAACAGTTAATTGATTTCTAAATTTGTGAATTATTATTTCAACAATTGATTAGTTGCGAATTATCGAAAGCCCTACCCTAAGTCCTATCTTTTGGGGTGTAACCTAAGTTTGTATACATGTGGAATTGTAGCTATTTAGATTTTAGTCAATTAAATGGTCAATGATTTATTACTCAAGCATTTTATCATCATTAAATGCATTATGATAATGAAGAATTTTGGCATCATACATCTGCAAGCCTCTGCCCATTGGAAAAATATGGGCTACTAATATCATAGCAGTGAAAAGACGATGAAACTGCATTTATCTAAAAGTGTACACATTTGTTTTTTTCTCTGGTGCATGCTCATGTTTAAGCCCTGCACTGCCTTAGAGTATGTGGTGGATCTCCAGGATGATTCACAGTTGAGTGTGGTTCTCTGGGAGCTAGAGCGGTGAGTTGCATTCAGACACAAATCAAAGGTGTGTGTGCAGCTCTAGTCCTGTAGCTGTCTTTACAAAGACTCTACTCAGTTTCTGCCGGATCACTAATGGAATGATTTCAGCTGGAGAGACAATGGACAAGCAAAGACTGCATTCAGAAAGAAATGTCTGTCTTTGTGGACATTGATCTTTACTTCTCCTCATTGAGAGGCTTTTTGCTCATTCTTTTTGATAGCTCTATCAAACTGTGCATGTCAGCGTTTCTGCATTGGCACTGAGATCTTTTGCTCATCTTTTACCTGCAGTAGTTGCACAAAGCATTTTTTTAACCCTCCATAATTCTTGTCTCACTCTCTCACATAGCCATTCCTCCCCCAGCTCTCAGATAAACACGCACACATAGACTATAGTGTCATGCTAGCTCAGGCAGATGTAAACAGATGACTTGGTTTATTGGTGTTGGTTTTGTGTCTCGTTTGAAATAAATTTATATTCTGGGGCTCTGGAGCTAACATCGATCTGGTGTAACTCATTTAAAAGCCATGACATTTGCCTATTGAGTTATTTACTGTCAAAACGACATGAGCCTCTGCTGGCTGGAAGCAGACAGTTGCTCAAAATAGAAGGGCTTTTGGAAAACATTATCTCAGATTTTGATCTCTCTACTTTATTATTTTCTACTTAATGTCAATGTTCCAGTTGATAGAACCCAAGTGGCAGGGGCCGTTGTTTTTTTTTTGTTTTTTTATTTTTTATATTTTATTTTTTTCTTCAATGTCAATGTCAATGTGATTTAGAAATGTAAAACTCCAGGGATTTCAATTTAAATCTGTACATCTGGTCTGCAATTAGAGGCAGCATCTCCTCTGGCACATCCTTGGTGCTTCTAATTGCTTATTTACCTCGAAAACAAATCAAGACATTATTCAAACAAAACCAGCGCATCTCACATATGGTCACATGAATGCACAACATGCATAAGTTCTCACTGCAGCGCTACAGCAACTCGTAAATCTGCTTGGAGGCTCCCAACCATCTGTGGGGTAATAACATTCTGGTACCTTGGGCTATAAGCTGTATCATAGGGCCACCTGAACATAAAAACATCCCTCGTGGTCATATTTTCTTTTCTAATTACTTTCACTTTAGAAATGAATGAAATTCTCCTGGACGGTTCTCTCGTTTGCTCATTATTCAGACGTATACAGATCTGCTATGGCCAGTATAATGAGCTCCCTGGAGGAGAGCAGAGTGGCGTAGAAGCAGTGTATAGGACAGCCTCATGGAGGGAGGAGGAGATGTCATCTCTTCACCAGATCTCCAACATCTCTTATGTTTTGTTAGCCCCACACCATTACAGGCCGTTAAGCAGATCAGAGGCCCTGTAATCCTCCACTGACAACATCCCCACTGCATGCAATCTCAGGGGAGTTGGTGTGGGAGAGTGAAGTCAAAGGCAGGAGTAAGCGAGGAATGAAGAAACACCCGACTGCATAATTGATAAGATTTAGTGGTGGGCATCTGCATCTTAAGTCTTCCACTGATATTCAGGTGTGGTGGAAACATGTTTTTGGTTTGTTCTATTTGGGCATAATATTCTCAACAATAACCATCAAGTTGTGATTTTTCAATAACTGAAACATAATTTGGTAATGTGATTATTGTAGACCTTGTTGCCTTTACAAATGGGATTCTGTGAGTATAGGACTCAAAGGACTCCTAATGCCTGCAGAGGCTCTTGTCCCGTGGGTGTATTTCTCACAGGCCTATTTGATCTGTGTCTCTCAAATGTTTTTGATCTATCCTTGCATTTTGAAGAAGACATTATTCTTACTTGCAATGCTGCTTATTAATAACCTTGCCTGCAAGCTGAATTCTCGCGGTATTTGTGAGTTCACAAACACTCGAGAATACATCTTGTACCGCTCCCGCTTACACTTTTCGAGTCGAACCACTGGGTGTGCGAGCCAATCACGCGCCAGTCTGGGGGTTTAGGGCGGGATATCCGGGTTTGACGAAAGCAAGAAGTGCCGGGCCGAAGCAAAACAAACATGGCTACGCAGGAGGACGGACGCAAAGTCAGTTTTAGCAGAATCTCCAATTTCTTTTTTGAAAGATGAACAGCGAGAGGCGCTTTGTACATTTCTGGACGGCAACCTTGGTAGGCGGGCACACAGCGTCACTTCGCCCAATCAGCTTCAAGTATTCTGCTGCTTACCCCTCCTTTCCCCGAAAGGATTCTCCGGGAGAAATCCCAGATTGATATCGCGGAGAACGCGTTAGAGTTCTACACAATCATCAATCTGGCTTTTGCCAGGTTAGCTTATTAACACAATGAAAATGAAGTAGATGAATACAACCTTGCAGGTATAATCATGTTGTGAGCCGTTAGTATGCCTTGCTGCGTAGGGGAATCTTCTTAGCCCAGCGTCTTGTCTTTGAAGTTTCTCTTTTGTCCATGATCGATGGGATCTTTGAAGCCACAGCAAAAGATCCATTTGCATACACATTAACATTTTTCCGCCAAGTCGTGTGTACAATTTGCAAAATGCCTGCCGTGTGTCCCTCCAGAAGTTTGGCGCTGTTGCCCGGACTCTCATGTTTTGTCATTACCATGGTAACAGTTATTCAGTGTGCACAATGTGGCACTTTTAGGCCTGTCAATCAAAGCCCACAACATACTGTAAGATGATAATAAACCTGTCAGGTATATCTTATATAACCTTGACGGTTTTGCACTCGGTCCAACTTTTTCCTAAAGTATAGAAGTTATAGACTTTAAACTTTTGTATGATCACAGCCTGCTTTTATTTATTCTAGCACAATAATGTGATCGTAAGTGAATTAATCACAGCCAATCCATTATTGTAATAGTTGTTTTTTTGAGCCTTCCATAGACTTAAACACGCTGAGAAGAGGTTCTATGCCTCAGAGAATGAAATGCAGAATGAAATGTTTAAAAAGTGTCTTCTTTCAAACAACCCAATATGAACAAGGCATCTCTTAAGAAACTATTCTCCAGTGGCATCACTTTGTTGTGGTCAAATGCAGAAAAAAGCATTTATTCTGGATCTATAAGAAACAACTATTAAAGGTTGTAGTGAGCCAGTGGCTGTCAGCATGGTGCCTTTTCTTCCCTCCACAGTGGTCTCGAGGATGCTATAGGATCAATTATTAGAAAGGTTTTCTCTGCTGAGGGACACCCTCCATCCATCCATCCATTTTCTTCCGCTTTATCCGTTGCCGGGTCGCGGGGGCAGCAGTCTAAGCAGAGACGCCCAGACTTCCCTATCCACACACACTTCCTCCAGCTCGTCCGGGGGGACCCCAAGGCGTTCCCAGGCCAGCTGAGAGACATAGTCCCTCCAGCGTGTCCTGGGTCTTCCGCGGGGCCTCCTCCCGGTGGGACGTGCCCGGAACACCTCCCCAGGGAGGCGTCCAGGAGGCATCCGGAACAGATGCCCGAGCCACCTCAACTGGTTCCTCTCGACGTGGAGAAGCAGCGGTTCTACTCCGAGCTCCTCCCGTGTGACTGAGCTCCTCACCCTATCTCTAAGGGAGCGCCCAGCCACTCTGCGGAGGAAGCTCATTTCAACCGCTTGTATCCGCGATCTCGTTCTTTCGGTCATTACCCAAAGCTCATGACCATAGGTGAGGGAGGGAACGAAGATTGACCGGTAAATCGAGAGCTTTGCCTTTCGGCTCAGCTCCCTCTTCACCACAACGGTCCGATACAGCGACCGCATAACTGCGCACGCTGCACCGATCCGCCTGTCAATCTCACGCTCCATTCTTCCCTCACTCGTGAACAAGACCCCGAGATACTTGAACTCCTCCACTTGAGGAAGGACCTCTCCACCCACCTGCAGAGGGCAAGGCACCTTTTTCCGGTCGAGCACCATGGCCTCGGATTTGGAGGTGCTGATTCTCATCCCAGCCGCTTCACACTCGGCTGCAAACCGTCCCAGTGCATGTTGCAGGTCCTGGTTCGTTGGAGCCAACAGGACAACATCGTCCGCAAACAGCAGAGATGAAATCCTGTGGTCTCCGAACCGGACCCCCTCCGACCCCTGGCTGCGCCTAGATATTCTGTCCATAAATACAGTGAACAGAACCGGTGACAAAGGGCAGCCCTGTCGGAGGCCAACATTCACCGGGAACAGGTCTGACTTACTGCCGGCAATGCGAACACAGCTCTGGCTCCGGTCATACAGGGATCGGATGGCCCTCAGCAGAGGACCTCCGACCCCGTACTCCCGGAGAACCCCCCAAAGGACACCCCGGGGAACACAGTCGAACGCCTTCTCCAAATCCACAAAGCACATGTGGACAGGTTGGGCGAACTCCCATGAACCCTCGAGTATCCGATGGAGAGTATAGAGCTGGTCCAGTGTTCCGCGACCGGGACGAAAACCACACTGCTCCTCCTGGATCCGAGATTCGACCATCGGCCGTAACCTCCTCTCCAGTACCTTGGAGTAGACCTTACCGGGGAGGCTGAGGAGTGTGATCCCACGATAATTGGAACACACCCTCCGGTCCCCCTTCTTGTAGAGAGGGACCACCACCCCGGTCTGCCACTCCATTGGCACTGCCCCCGATCGCCACGCGATGTTGCAGAGACGTGTCAGCCAAGACAGTCCTACAACATCCAGAGACTTTAGATAATCAGGGCGGATCTCATCCACACCCGGAGCCTTGCCACCATGGAGGCTACCAACCACCTTGGTGACCTCAACCAGGGAGATGGATGTACCCGCCCCAACATCCTCAGCCTCTGCCTCTGTAACAGAGGGCGTGACGGGGGGATTGAGGAGAACCTCAAAGTATTCCTTCCACCGCCCGACAATATCCCCAGTCGAGGTCAGCAGCTCTCCACCCGCACCGTACATGGTGTTGGCAAAGAACTGCTTCCCCCTCCTGAGGCGCCGGATGGTTTGCCAGAATCTCTTCGAGGCCGACCGATAGTCATGCTCCATGGACTCTCCGAACTCCTCCCAGTCCCGGGTTTTTGCCTCTGCAACAGCCCGGGCCGCGGCACGCTTGGCCTGCCGGTACTGGACAGCTGCCTCAGGAGTCCCCCGAACCATCATGGCTCGATAGGACTCCTTCTTCAGCCTGACAGCATCCCTTACTGCCGGTGTCCACCACCGGGTTCGGGGGTTGCCGCCGGGACCAGCACCAGAGACCTTGCGACCACAGCTACGAGCCGCCGCATCGGCGATTGAGGCAGAGAACATGGTCCACTCGGACTCAATGTCCCCCTCCTCCGCCGGGACCTGGGAGAAACTCTCCCGGAGGTGTGAGTTGAAAGTCCGTCTGACAGGGGGCTCAGCGAGACGTTCCCAGCAGACCCTCACTATACGCTTGGGTCTGCCAGGTCTGACCGGCTTCTTCCCCTGCCAGCGGATCCAACTCACGACCAGGTGATGATCGGTTGACAGCTCCGCCCCTCTCTTTACCCGAGTGTCCGAGACACGCGGTCGAAGGTCAGATGATACGACAACAAAGTCGATCATCGACCTCCGGCCTAGGGTGTCCTGGTGCCACGTGCACTGGTGGACACCCTTGTGCTCGAACATGGTGTTCGTGATGGACAAACCGTGACTGGCACAGAAGTCCAACAACTGAGCACCGCTCGGGTTCAGATCAGGGGGGCCGTTCTTCCCGATCACCCCTCTCCAAGTGTCACTGGCGTTTCCCACATGGGCGTTGAAGTCCCCCAGGAGAATAACGGAGTCCCCGGGCGGTGCACCGTCCAGTACCCCTCCCAAGGACTCCAAGAAGGCCGGGTACTCTACACTGCTGTTAGGCCCGTAGGCCGTCACAACAATGAGAGACTTGTCCCCCACCCGGAGGCGGAGGGACGCGACCCTCTCATTCACCGGGGAGAACTCCAACACGTGGCGGCTGAGATGGGGGGCAATGAGAATGGCCACCCCAACTCGCCGCCTCTCCCCGCGGGAAACTCCAGAAAAGTGGAGCGTCCAACCCCTCTCAAGGAGTTGGGTTCCAGAGCCCAAGCTGTGTGTGGAGGTGAGGCCGACTATCTCTAGTCGGTATCGCTCAACCTCCCCCACAAGCTCGGGCTCCTTCCCCCCCAGTGAGGTGACGTTCCACGTCCCAAGAGCCAGATGTTGTGTGTGCGGACTGGGTCGCCGAGGTCTCCGCCTTCGACTGCCGCCCAGTCCTCTCTGCACCGCTTCACCACGGACCCCTCTGCAGGTGGTGGGCCCACAGGAGGGACTGCCCACGTCATCCCTTCGGGCTGAGCCCGGCCGGGCCCCGTGGGCTAAGGCCCGGCCACCAGGCGCTCGCATACGGGCCCCGACCCCAGGCCTGGCTCCAGGGTGGGGCCCCGGCTGCGCCATGCCGGGCGACGTCACTG